AAGTAAATGGTACAAAATAGGATTTAAAGGCATATGGATATGTAAGGATTTTCAAGATGGTATATAACTCCTGATTTTTTAAATATTTTAAATTATTTGTAATAAAAACATGTATGTTTTTACAAAAACTGTATATGTTTTATGAATTCTCAGATTAATAAAAAAAAATAAACACTTAAAAAAAATCTCATTATTTTTTGATCTTTTAGCCTATTGGAAGACTCTCTTTTTCCTGTATACTATTTGGGATGTGGTATGTTGGCTAACATAAAAGAGGAAGAATATTTTGAAATAGCCAGAGCCCTTTGATCATATTTGATTTTATCTTTGGGTATAACATGTGTTGTGTCCTCTAGGTAGATATGATTTGTTGTTTTTTTAGTCAGAAGCTTGTTTGAAACCTGGGATGAGTGAGACTTAGAGTGAGGTAGTGGGTTCACCTCAGGACAGAATGGGAGGCTCTACACGTCAGGGCTTTTGGAGCCCCCTACCCTTCCATAAACCTCTGGCACTTTCTGGAAGAGGGGCAGAGGAGGGGAGGAGGCGCAGGTTTGCATATTTAGGGGAACTTGGCAAATTCCCAGGCAGAAGGCCAAGCATGGTTGCCAAGGGCAACCCCTAAATATGACAGAGCCTGTGCAGCAGGGGAGTCGGGCGGAAGATGGACTGAAGGAAGGTGCTGGAGTGAGGAGCCTGGGAGGGAGCCCCAGGGAGGGGAACCTACTTACAGGCTGGTTGCTGAACTGAGAGCTCTGCACTGTGCCAAGTCTCCTAGGGAGGACAATCCTGTCAGCAGGGAAGGAGCCAGCCAAACATAAGGCCCGAAAGCAGGTACAACCCAATAAGGTAACAGGACAGGATTGCGTGAGTACTTCTACACTCCTTGGGCCAGATAAAGGGAGAGGGCAGTCGGTGCAATACCCAACTAGATCTCATCTGGGACTACTTAATTGGCAGAATGTGGAATCCCTTGCCCTCAGTGCAGGATGAAGGATTCATCTGCAGTCTAAGGAGGTACATCAAGGACTCTTCAGTGCTCCTTAAAGAGACAGTGCTATTTTTCGGATCCACATTTATGTACAGTGTACAGTTTGCTAAGAAGCTTGTCCTCAGGTTTTGCAGTTCCTTGTGCATCCCATATACCCCTAGACCAGCAATGGGCAAACTAAGGCCCGCGGGCCGTATACGGCCCGGCGGACCTTTTAATCCGGCCCGCGGAGCTAGGCTCCCCGCTAGGCCAGTGGTCGGCAAGCGCGGCTCGCGAGCCACATGCGGCTCTCCTGTGTGCCGGGCGCCCGCTCCCCTCCCTCCTCTCGGGCGGGCGGCCTCCGCTCCTCCTCTCCCCTCCCCTCCCTCCTCTCGGATGGCCGCCCCCCTCCCTCCTCTCGGGCGTCAGGACTCTGCAGCTGTCAGGATGTAGGCGGGGCAGCCAGGATGTAGGCGGGGCAGCGTGACGAAATCTTCTCCTCTCACAGTCCTCCCTGAAGATCAGAACGGCGCGGGAATATGAGAGGAACGCGCGGAGCAAAGGTAAGTGAATTGACACAGGGGGGACTTACTATATGGGGGATGAATTACTATATGGGGGACTTACTATATGGGGAATGAATTACTATATGGGGGACTTACTATATGGGGAATGAATTACTATATGGGGGACTTACTATATGGGGGATGAATTACTATATGGGGGACTTACTATATGGGGAATGAATTACTATATGGGGGACTTACTATATGGGGAATGAATTACTATATGGGGGACTTACTATATGGGGAATGAATTACTATATGGGGGACTTACTATATGGGGAATGAATTACTATATGGAGGACTTACTATATGGGAATGAATTACTATATGGGGAATGAATTACTATATGGGGGACTTACTATATGGGGAATGAATTACTATATGGGGGACTTACTATATGGGGAATGAATTACTATATGGGGGACTTACTATATGGGAATGAATTACTATATGGAGGACTTACTATATGGGGAATGAATTACTATATGGGGAATGAATTACTATATGGGGGACTTACTATATGGGGAATGAATTACTATATGGAGGACTTACTATATGGGGAATGAATTACTATATGGGGGACTTACTTATGGGGAATGAATTACTATATGGGGGACTTACTATATGGGGGACTTACTATATGGGGGACGAATTACTATATGGGGAATGCATTACTATATGGGGAATGAATTACTATATGGGGAATGAATTACTATATGGGGAATGAATTACTATATGGAGGACTTACTATATGGGGAATGAATTACTATATGGGGAATGAATTACTATATGGAGGACTTACTATATGGGGAATGAATTACTATATGGGGAATGAATTACTATATGGGGAATGAATTACTATATGGGGAATGAATTACTATATGGAGGACTTACTATATGGGGAATGAATTACTATATGGGGAATGAATTACTATATGGAGGACTTACTATATGGGGAATGAATTACTATATGGGGGACTTACTATATGGGGGACATACTTATGGGGAATGAATTACTATATGGGGGACTTACTATATGGGGGACTTACTATATGGGGAATGAATTACTATATGGGGGACTTACTATATGGGGAATGAATTACTATATGGGGAATGAATTACTATATGGAGGACTTACTATATGGGGAATGAATTACTATATGGGGGACTTACTATATGGGGAATGAATTACTATATGGGGGACTTACTATATGGGGGGACTTACTATATGGGGGATGAATTACTATGTGGGGGATGAATTACTATGTGGGGGATGAATTACTATATGGGGGATGAATTGCTATATGGGGGATGAATTTCTATATGGGGGATGAATTGCTATATGGGGGACGAATTACTATATGGGGGACGAATTACTATATGGGGGATTAATTACTATGCTTACTATGGGGGAATATTACTATACTTACTATGGATGACACATACACATCATTCATCTACTCTTGGTCCGGCCCCCGGGTCCAATATATGAACCCATTGCGGCCCTCAAGTCAAAAAGTTTGCCCACCCCTGCCCTAGACCCTATCCAAGTTGTTAACCCCCCAAAACGAATAACAAAAAAAAACAAACTCAAGGACTATTTTACTGGCTCTGTGTGTGAAAATGTGGGAAAATGCCTGTTGTCTGGCTGTGCAGAGCTTAGGGGGGACCCAAATATATCCAGCGTTAGCATTATACATGGTTTTATTTACACAATTTTCCTGCATTTGCTGTTATTATTTGAAAACACCCCAAAAGCATTCAGAATCTTCTTAGTGTCATTTGGTAGCTAATTTCATAGCTGAACTAATCAAAACCTATAAATATCAAATAATAGCATCCTACTGATCAACACTAGACAATTTATGAATAGATTGATAATTATTTTTAATACTCAATCATGAAACACTTGAGTTGTTGAACAATTGCAACTAAAGTCATTCTAAAGGCAGAAGGTGTTTTACGTTAATGCATTCTCTCCTCATTGAACAGAGATGCAGCAGCGGGAGTCATTGGCTCCTGTTGCTGTCAATAACAGCCAGTGAGGTAAGAGAGGAGGGCAGGGTGGGGCCAAGTTAGGCTGGGCTGGGCCGGCTCTATGTGTCAATGGACACACAGAGCTGGCTTGCTAGCAAACACATACCAATGCCCACCTAGCAGGAGACTTGCTATGTGGGTACTTGGCAGGGGGAGTGTCCAGGAGCACCAGCAGTGGACCCAAGAAAAGGACAATCAGGGCTGCTCTGTGCAAAGCCATTGACATGTTTGTTATTTTTAACAAATAAAATATTTGCCTTTACAATCACTTTAATTACTATGCTATATGAACAAGGATTACTATTACAAAAAAGAACAAATTAAAAAACAGTGCCATCTTGTGGAACACTAGTTGAAAGAAATGCAGCATTTCCATACAGTTAGCAGCCAGCAAATATTTTATAGGTCATTCATAATTTTTGGAGACAGAATATAGAAGTATAGAAGTAGTGATGGGCGACTTTGTCCAGGTTCAATTTGCTAAGGGTTCTGTGAATTAAGTTTAAAATTCATCGAATCTGATCTTAGAGGTAAATCCTGTTGAACTCTATGCAGTAAATCTTATTCAATTTTGTAGGGGAAATAGCCAAACTATTAGGAAAAAAGCCATGGACACTGACTTCATACACATGTACCAATGCAGAAAAAAGTTTTAAAAATTTCTTGACATCAGGAAGATGGATTTTTCATGTTACTTTGAGTGCAACATTAAATACACAAATCACAAAAGATCATAATCACAAAGAACATAGAAGTGCATATTTGGCTGTGGAATTGATTTTTTTCCTTTTAAAATTAGCTTGGCTTATATACAGAAGCTGCAGCTAAATCTGATTAATTTCAATTTGGAAAAAAAAAGGCTTTATTATAGGTACTTATATAGCACTGTCAATTTACACAGTGCTTTACACACACATATATATATATATATATATATATATATATATATATATTGTACACATCAGTTCCTAACCCTCAAGGGGCGTACAATCTAAGGTCCCTAACTTACATTCATACACACACATACTAGGGCCAATTTAGACAGGATCAAATTAACCTACCAGCATCTCTTTGGAGTGTGGGAGGAAACCCACACAGGCACAGGGAGAACATGCAAACTCCAGGCAGGTTACGCTGTGTTTGCGATTTGAACCAATGACCCAATACTACGTGGAAGTGCTAATCATTTAGCCACTGTGCTGCCCAAGTAGTTTTACCAGCAACACATGGTTTTTCATCAAACAGAATATGCCCACACTGACCAGCAGATAGAAATAATTTTGCTTTGGCTGTCCTTGCTCCCCCTGATGCAAACCTGTTCTGCTGCTGGGCAATTTCTTTTAAACAGCAATTAAGAATTTGGCCTTGTTCACATGGGCTTGCTTAAAGTGATTCTAAAGGCTTATTTTTTAAAAGAAAAAATAACAAATATGTTTATACTTACCTGCTGTTTGTAGTGGTTTTGCACAGAGCAGCCTGGATTCTCCTCTTCTCAGGTCCCCCCAGGCTCTCCTGGCCCCTCCCTCCTGTCGGGTGCCTCCACAGCAAGCAGCTTACTATGGGGGCACCTGCTGCTCCGTGTGTCCATTCGCACACAGAGCCACAGCTCAGCCCTGCCCTCCCTCTTCTCATTGGCTCACTGGCTGTGATAGACAGCAATGGGAACCAATGGCTCCTGCTTCTGTCTCAGCCAATGAGAAGACTGGGGATAGCAGAGTCTCCAGTGCACATTGCTGGATCGAGAGGGGGCTTAGGTGAATATTAAGGGGGGCTGGGGGGATGCTGCACACAGAAGGTTTTTTACCTTCATGCTTTGAATGCAGGAAGGTAAAAAAACCTTGAACCTTGAGAACCACTCTCACACCCAGGTCACACTGGGTGCGATGTGACATGCAATTTTCAATGTCATTCGAGTTGCAAATTGCATGGCAAGTTGCACCCTATTGTCCTCAATTAAAGAAGTCATATTGGCGCAATTCCGACTTGGTTGGAGCCACACCAATTTCTAAAGTAGTGAATGCACTACTTCAGGTGGGACTTGCTTAGACATCTAGGCAGATGTCTTGCAAGTCGCAACTCAAGTCGGAATGATATTCGACTTTGAAATCGGGGAACTTCCAGTGAAATTTGCACGATTGCAAAGTTGGATGTCATTCCGACTGGAAAGGGAGACTTGAAAGACATCTGCCAAGATGTCTATGTCCCAATTGACATAAATAGGATTGCCAGCATGGGGATGCATGGAGCACCTAGGGTGGGCAAACATGGCCCTCATGCAGAAATACACTTAAGTGTACCCATGTGAACAAGGTCTTAGGAGAAAGCAGATTATACTGCAGTGTAAACTTAGCCAGAAGCAAGATATTTTTAAAAAGGGAGCATTTGCTGAAATGCATTAGGAAAGAGTATAGGCAGGTGTTTCACTAAAAAATTAAACAAAGGCAGGTCACGCAGCTGCATAAAATTAGCCATCTGCAGTACCCTTTTACCTCTGGTTCATATATCTGCGGCTGTGCAGGCCGCATTTTATGCAAACACGGGAGCCCATTCATCTGAATGGATTCCCGTGCTACGGCACACGCAGAAGACCCTGAACTTTTTCGTAAAACGCAGCTAGCACTGGAACCGACGTTCCCAGTACGGCTGCAATTTCCAGTGTGGGCGGCGTGCCATTAGAATTAATGGCACCCTCCCGCGAGTCCCCATTCCTCTGTGCGGGTGGTGTAGCTGCACAGATATTTGGCAACACCTGGACAGATGTGAACCTAGCCTTAGTAAGCAAGGATAGGCTCAAATTTCCTAATGACAAAGCGCACAAGAATTGAAGTGAACTTCACTCTTATAAATGACTTAACCACTTGTCTACCAGCACTGTTTATAAACTTCAGCTGGTAGAACAGGATTTTAACCACTTCCTGTCCGGACACTTTTACCCCCTTCCTGTCCAGGCCAGTTCTCAGCTTTCAGCGCTGTCATACTTTGAATGAAAATTGCACGGTCATGCAACACTGTACCCATATGCATTTTTTTGAGACAGATAAAACTTTATTTTAGTGGTATTTATTCACCACTGGGATTTTTATTTTTTTTGCTACATAAATGAAAAAGTCCAAAAATTTTGAAAAAAGTGTTTTTCTTATAAAATTTTGCAAATAAATAATCTTTCTTCATAGATTTCAACAAAAAATTATTCCGTTATCTTTTTAGTAAAAAAAAAAACCCAAATTAGTTTGTAACCAAAAATTATAATTTTTGAAAAAAAAAAATTTCACATTTTTCTTTTTCTTTTTTGTATTATTATTTATGGGGTTTTTTTCGTTTTGTTTTTTAGCATACTGTCACCCTAGCAGTACAGTGTCACCATAGCGACACTGTACTACTTGTGGGGGTGATGAAGATTTTTTTTTTTTTACACTGATTGCTTTTACACCCATAAAGGCTGTAAAAACAACCATTTCTCCATCTCTCTGGCTGCATTCTTGCAGCCATTGAGAAATACGCTGTGTGTGAGCTGTGATTAGCCACAGCTTGTCACATGGTACAAGGCTGTTGTGAATAGTCTTGTACCATGTGACCTCAGTGATCATTCACAGATTTCACATGTAGTAAGCAATGATGTTAGAAATGACATCTTGCTTACTACTCTTCATGTGATCACTGATTGGCTAATCACACAGAGGTCCCGTACAGCGATTGGTGTTCCGGACACAGCGGGCACTGAATCGCTGTGCCGCATGCTCCCAGGGAGCACACACAGTCCAAAATGGCAGGCGCAGTTTATGAATGGCAATCCGCTCCTGCACTGCACCTGTCCAGCCGTTTATATACATGGGCCGGACGAGAAGTGGTTAAAATACTCCAGAGGATACATGAGTGTATTATTAGTTAGCAGGAAGACAGTTTTATTCAGAGATAATAGGCCTAACTGTTGTATGCTTAACTTTTATCATATCAATGGGTATAGGGGGATGTGTTAAATGTGAGAGGCATAATTGAGTGCAGCTACTAAAACTAGAGAGTGCAAAATCTGGAGCAGCTGCGTATGGTGGCCAATCAGCTTCTAACTTCAGCCTGTTCAATTAAGCTTTGACAAAAAAAACCTGGAAGCTGATTGGTTTCTATGCAGAGATGTACCAGAGTGAGCTGTTTTAGGCGAACACTTTTCTTGCACTTAGTTTCCTTTTCTTTCAAATGAAGCAGCGTTATGCTATGAATAAAAGGCAGTTTAAGGAACTGATGGTCAGTGTCTGCTTTAAGCACCCCAGACCTAAAAAAGAGGACCTATCAACATAAAATATAAAAATAAAAACCTCACAAAAGTAATAAAAAATACCAAATAACACCCCTAAAACAAAGCCTGCTTTTTTTTTAAAAGGGAAGCCAAAACAAAAAAGTTTACTATGGAAGGGACAGCAGATTGCTGACCTCAAATTAACCACAAAATTAAATGAAAGATTAAAAAGTCCTCAATTACAAGTACTAGAGATGAGCGAATTATTCAAAAATTTGATTCGGCTGATTCACCGAATTTGCGGAATAAATTTGATTCGATGCGAATTTATTCGCTGTGAATTTAATTTATAAAAAGGGTTTCTAGGCTTCAGAGAGCCTTTATATTAGTGCAGAACACTGTACCTTTAATTTAAATGCCCTTGGAGTCTGCTGGGGAAGAGAAATAATACTGTCAGTCAGTATATGACATGCAGATGAGTGCCGTCGATCTTAGAATCACCGCACACTTCACTCATTTGGGCAGTCACGGGGCCAAAACCAGAGTGTGGAGCCACAGTGTGGCGATGGAGGCAGCAGCAATGGGAGGCCATACAGCACCCTATGACAAAATGGAACCCACCAGCAGTGTGAGGAGACAAGAAAGTGGCACATGGCAGAGTGTGGCGATGGAGACAGCAGCAATGGGAGGCCGTACAGGGACCCATGACACACTCTGGACCTGGCAGCAGCATGAGGAGGCGGTACAGGGGCCCATGGCAAGAAGAAGAAGAAGAAGAGGATGAGGATGAAGAAGAAGAAGAGGATGAGGATGAGGAAGAAGAAGAAGAAGAGGATGAAGAAGAAGAAGAAGAGGATGAGGATGATGATGAAGAAGAAGAAGAAGAAGAAGAGGAGGATGAGGATGAAGAAGAAGAAGAAGAGGATGAGGATGAAGAAGAAGAAGAGGATGAGGATGAAGAAGAAGAGGATGAGGATGAAGAAGAAGAAGAAGAAGAGGATGAGGATGAAGAAGAAGAAGAAGAGGATGAGGATGAAGAAGAAGAAGAAGAGGATGAGGATGAGGAAGAAGAAGAAGATGAGGATGAGGATGAAGAAGAAGATGAGGATGAGGATGAAGAAGAAGAAGAAGAAGAAGAAGAAGAAGAAGAGGATGAGGATGAAGAAGAGGATGAGGATGAAGAAGAAGAAGAGGATGATGGTGGGGATGATGAAGAAGAAGAAGAAGAAGAGGATGAGGATGATGAAGAAGAAGAAGAAGAAGAGGATGAGGATGAGGATGAGAAGAAGAAGAAGAAGAAGAAGAAGAAGAAGAAGAGGATGAGGATGATGAAGAAGAAGAGGATGAGGATGAAGAAGAAGAAGTAGAAGAAGAAGAGGATGAGGAAGAAAAAGAAGAGGATGAGGATGAAAGAAGAAGAAGAAGAAGAAGAGGATGAGGATGAAGAAGAAGAAGAAGAAGAAGAAGAGGATGAGGATGAAGAAGAAGAAGATGAGGATGAAGAAGAAGAGGATGAGGATGAAGAAGAGGAAGAAGAAGAAGAGGATGAGGATGAGGAAGAAGAAGAAGAAAAAGAGGATGAGGATGAAGAAGAAGAAGAAGAAGAAGAGGATGAGGATGAAGAAGAAGAAGAAGAAGAAGATGAGGATGAAGAAGAAGAAGAAGAAGAAGAAGAGGATGAGGATGATGAAGAAGAAGAAGAAGAAGAGGATGAGGATGAGGAGGAAGAAGAAGAGGATGAGGATGAAGAAGAAGAAGAAGAGGATGAGGATGAAGAAGAGGATGAGGATGAAGAAGAAGAGGAGGAGGATGATGGTGAGGAAGAAGAAGAAGAAGAAGAGGATGAGGATGATGATGATGAAGAAGAAGAGGATGAGGATGAAGAAGAAGAGGAGGAGGATGATGGTGAGGAAGAAGAAGAAGAAGAAGAGGATGAGGATGATGATGATGAAGAAGAAGAGGATGAGGATGAAGAAGAAGAAGAAGAGGATGAGGATGATGAAGAAGAAGAGGATGAGGATGAAGAAGAAGAGGATGAGGATGAAGAAGAAGAGAATGAGGATGAAGAAGAGGATGAGGATGAAGAAGAAGAAGAGGATGAGGATGAAGAAGAAGAAGAAGAGGATGAGGATGAAGAAGAAGAAGAGGATGAGGATGAGGATGAAGAAGAAGAAGAAGAAGTAGGATGAAAATAAGAAGAATTCCAGTCCAGCAAAAAGTGTATCTGCAGAGAGCTCCGCTATTTCTGACAGTTCTCTGACAGTTCCTTCACATTTACAGCGGTTGAAACATTGTATCTATTTGTTTCCGAATAAAAACATCTGTATCCTAAATGGAAACAAATAGATACAATGTTTCAACCGCTGTAAATGTGAAGGAACTGTCAGAGAACTGTCAGAAATAGCGGAGCTCTCTGCAGGGACACTTTTTGCCGGCTGTAGAAGGGATGAAAATCGGGCCGATCGGGGGAAAATTCGATTCGTGCATCCGAAGTTTGCTAATTTTCGGATTCGGCGCGAATCGAATTTTTTCTAATATTCGAAAACGAATTCCACTTCGTCATGTTCGATTCGCTCATCTCTAACA